CTAACCTCACTCTGGTTTCCTCGTATAACTAAATGCCTGGCAGACCGACACCTTCAGTTCTTCACAGATGTCACATCTCTTCTGAATCCTAGCATCCAGAGAGTTCAATTTCAAGCTGAAACTGATTTATAATTACTACGACCATGGTGGTTAAGAACTTGGGTTTGAATCTGGTTCCACCACTTATTATCTCTGAAACTTAGTTTCCTTATCTGTAAAATACAGATTTTATGAGGCTATTTATGTTGCACTAATTCCTATGTCACAGGGTTGTGTTAAAGGTAATGCATGCAATTTACTTAACCCCATTTTTTTAGATTGCAGTCAGTAAAGGCTGACTATTAAAATTATCACTACTTTATTTTTTTCTTAAAGAAGGAGCTGAGATCAAGAGGAGTGAGGTGACTTATCCAAGATCACATAGCCAATGAATGGCAAAGCTAAGACAACATATCTCTAGGCATCTGACTCAGACTTCAGCTCTCTTGAATAACAGTGTGTTCCCATAACTCCACAGGTGAGCTTCCACTTGAATTGTATTTGCTTGGTAGTTTTTTAAAATTTAATATCATTGATGAGTCTCCAGCTGAGAGGACTTAGTGACAAATGTAATCGATTGATGAGTTTTTCCTGCCTGCTGCACAGATAAAACCATTCACTGAGACCATGGTATAGAAGTAAAGAGTTTAATGAACACAAGGCTGGCCATAGAGAAGAACTGGAGTTTATCACTCAAGTCAGTCTCCCTAAGAGCTCAGAGGCTAGGCTTTTTATGGAAAATTTGGTGGGCAGGGAGCTAGGGAATGAGTGCTACTGATTGGTTAGGGATGAAATCACAGGAGTGTGAGGAAAACAGTCCTCATTTGCTGAGTCCACCTCTGGGTGGAGGCCATAGGACTGGTTGAGTCATTAGTCTGGGAGGCATCAGTCAGTTGCCAGAATGCAAAAATCTGAAAAACCTCTCAAAAGACCGGTCTTAGGTTCTACAATAGTGATGTTATCTACAGGAGCAATTGAGGAAGTCATAACTCTGTGACATTTGGCCACATAACTCCTGAGCAGTAAGGAAGTATAGAAATGATGCCTCCATTTGAGCAGAATTCAGGCCCTTTCCATAATCCTAATCTTGTGGTCTTTCCTTAGTCTTACAAAGGTGGTTTCAGAACCCAAACAAGGAAGGGATCTGCTTTAGGGAGAGAATATTATCATCCTTGCCTCAAAGTTAAACTATAAACTAAATTCCTCTCATGGTTAGCTTGGCCTGTGGCTGGGAATGAGCAAGGGAAGCCAACCCGTGAGGCTAGAAGCAAGATGGAGTTGGTCATGCTAGACTTCTCTCCCTCTCATAATCTTTGCAAAGGCAGTTTCACAAACACAGCTTAAAAAGAAAAAAAAAAAAAAAAGGGCAAGAGATGATGAGAGTCAGACTGCAAATTTCACCGAGGCAGTGGAAATTGTCCACTAGTCATTTGATGATGGCCAGTGTCTTCAGCTCCTTGTTTGAAGTAGGAAGTTAAAAGACAAAGCATGGGTGATTGTTTCTTTATTTAAAGAGACCAAACTTAAAAACCTACAAAGGGAAAAGGATTTTGACACATCCAGATCTTAGAGCTGGAACTAGAACCTAGGTCTAATACCCATTTTAATATGATCCAAATCTAGAATATTTTCCTAGGGTTCCAGAGTTAGCCCTTGAGAAGAGACACATTTTTCCACATCAGTCTCATACAAGGTGGACTGGAAGAGCAACCCAGGCTTATCAGGCTTCAGACCAAACACAGGATGCCAGAGGGTAGCCAGGAAGCCTTCACTCTTCAATTCTTCTTACTGTTGAACCTCAAGTGCCAAAGCCTTGAGAGGAAAAAAGTTCTTCAGCAGCTGGTTTTACCTTTTAATAAAATAGGTAGTTGGTTTTATGGTGGTAATTTAAGAGAGGCTGGTTAATTCTCTGTTTTTATGGTGGTAATTTAAGAGAGGCTGGTTTATTCTCTGTACTAGCTTTCTATTGCTGCATAACAAATTTCTCTAAAAATGCGTGGCTTAAAACAACAAACATTTATTATCTAAGTTTCTATGGATCAGGAATTTGAAAGCAGCCCTCAAATTCCAGGTGGGTAGTTCTGGCTTGGAGTTTTTGTTGTTGTTGTTGTTCTTGTTGTTAAAGTCAAGATGTCAGCTGAGACTGCAGTCATCTGAAGGCTTGACTGGGGCTGGGTGGGCTGCTTCCAAGATGGCTTCCTCAGACGGCCATAGGCAAGAGGCTGCTTCCTCAAGACATGGAAACAAAGAGTCAGAAGAGATGCTGGTGTCCCCTGGAGGAGTTACTGGGAGAGAAATCGAGGAGGAAACTGTAATGCCTTTTATGACCTAGTCTCAGAAGCCACTCACTGTCATTTCTGCCACATTCTAATCTTTAGGAGCAAGTTACTAAGTCCAGTTCACACTTAAAGAAAGGAGAATTAAGTTCCACCTCTTGAGAAAAGAAATACCAAAGAATTTGTGAAAAACACATTAAAATTATCACCTACTCTATCAACCTAACTTTTATTCATTTGTTAGAAATTACATCATTAGTGAACCCAAGAGCTAACAAAATAACTTATTTTCATATTCAAACAATTTAAATTTAAATTTAATGTATGTTAAATGTAAATGTCTGTATAGCACTGACCGGGAGTCAGAGGCTCAGGTTCTATTTTACACTTTGCTTCTGGCACAGCCTTGGGCATGCCACTTCTCCTTCTGGGCCCCAGTTTCCTTTTCTGTAAAATGAGATGCCTGCCTTTTCAACACATGGTCCTGGGAAAACTGGATATCTATGTGCAAAAGAATGAAGTCGGACACTTACCAGCACCATATACAAAAATTTAACTCAAATGGATCAAAACCTAAATATAAGACCTAAAACGATACAACTCTTAGAAGAAAACACAGGGTAAAAGCTTCGTGACACTGGATTTGGCAATGATTTCTTGGATATGACACTAAGGTCACAGGCAACAAAAGAAAAATAGACAAATGGAACTTCATGAACAAATTTTAAAATTATTCATCAAAAGATAATATCAGCAAAGTAAAATGTCAACTAAAAGAATGAGAGAAAATGTTTGCAAATCGTATGTCTGATAAGGGATTAATATCCAGAATATTTAGAGAGCTTCTAAATCTCAACAACAAAAAACAACCTGATTCCAAAATGGGCAAAGAACCTGAATAGACATATCTCTAAAGAAGATATACAAATGGTTAAGAAACACATGGAAAGATGCTCCACAGCACAATTCATTAGGGAAATGCAAATGAAATCAACCACGAGGTACCACCTTACATTTATAAGGGTGGCTACTATAAAAACAAAACCAAATAAAACCCAGAAAATAATTAGCCAGAAAAGCATTAGCCAGGATGTGGAGAAATTGGAACCCTTGTGCATTGTTGGTGGGAGTATAAAGTGGTAGAGATGCTGTAGAAAACAGTGTGGCAATTCTACAAACAATTAAAAATAGAATTACCATATGATCCAGCATTTCCACTTCTGGATGTATAGCAAAAGAACTAAAAATGGGTCTTGGTCAGGCACCGTGGCTCACGCCTGTAATCCCAGCACTGTGGGAAGCCAAGGCAGGTGGATCACTTGAAGTCAGCAGTTCAACACCAGCCTGGCTAACATGGTGAAACCCCCTTTCTACAAAAAACACAAAATTTAGCCAGGCATGGTGGTACGTGCCTGTAATTCCAGCTACTCAGGAGGCCGAGGCAGGAGAATCACTTGAACCCAGGAGGCGAAGGTTGCAGTGAGCGGAGATTGTACCACTGCACTCTAGCCTGAGTGACACAGCAAGACCCAGTCTCAAAAATGAAATGAAATGAAATGAAATGAAATAAAATAAATAATACAAATAAAAATGTAAGTGGGGTCTTGAAGAGATATTTGCATACCCTTGTTCATAACAGCATTATTCACAATACTAACCCAAGTGTCCATGGACAGATGAATGGATAAGCAAAATGTGTTGTATATATATAATGGAATATTATTGCCTTAAAAAGGAATAAAATTCTGACATGTGCTGCAACACGGATGAACCTTGAGAACAGTATGCTCAGAAAAATAAGCCAGTCACAAAAAGAAAAACAAGATTTCATTTATATAAGGTACTTAGAGTAGTGAAAATTATAGAGATGGAAAGTAGAATGGTGATTGACTGGGGCTGGGGTTAGTGAGGAATGGGTAGTTATTGTTTAATGGGTATAATGTTGCAGCTTTACAAGATGAAAAGGAGTTATAAAGATGGATGGTGGTAATGGTTGCATAACATCGTGAATGTATGTAATGCCACAGAACCGTACACTTAAAAATGATTAAGATGGGAAATTTTATGTATATATTTTACCACAATAAAAATAATTGGGAAAAAAGCCAACAAAATAAAGGCGCCTGGACTTAAAAATTTTTAATGTCCCTTCTGGCTCTGATATTCTCTTCTCTAACATTATTTATTCAATTTAGAGTTTATAGTCCATTTCTGACAATCTCTGTCTATTTCTCTCTCTCTCTCTCTATTCATCTATCTGTCTATCATCTATCTATCTAATCTACCCATCTATCTATCTACATATGTATATGTTTAACATGTTTTTGTATGTGTCTCTATGTTTCAAAAGCATATTTAAATAAATCTTTCATGGCCTTTTAGTCTTTAGAGGGAAGGTGAGGCTGTTTATGTTACAGGAACATATTTTATTTGCCCACAGCAGCCAGAGCACAGCATGCTATTACTATAAATGGGGCATGATAGTGTTTTGTTATGAAATGCCTTTTGATGTAGGACAGCTACAGTCCAATGACTTCCAAATATATTTCATCCTACTGTAAAAAATAAAATGACAGATCTTCTCATGGCCACAGGGTCTCTGCACACATTTCCAGGAACTTGAGACCATTTACTAAATCCAAACAGAAAAACATTGTTTTAATGGTTATAGATGTGTCCACTCACCTTTGAACGAGGCATGCCTCCTACTCCTAACCTCTCATGTCTGAAGCCCAGCGTGAATCAGTCGGCCTGGGTAAAAAAGGAGGGACATACCTAAATATCTTTTCGAGACACAACACCAATCCTCCAAGTTGTTCCACAGACCACCCCGACTATTCCTTACCCCACCATCCCATTTGAAAAAAAACCCATTAATCTGGTAGTCTCTTTATTTCCCCTCAAAGGCAGCTCAACTTTAGAACAAAATGCTTAGGGGGAAAAATACCTTCATTTAAAAACAGCAACACTCTCAGTTTAGGAAATGAAGAAACTGAGATTATTGTTCCAAGTTCTTCCCTAGTCTCTAGGTCTTCCGTTGCAATCCGTTTGTGCATATACATTTCACGCAACTGTTCGTGCAGGTCTGGAAGGAGGTCTTGCTGAAGATATTCATGGCAGTGGTGTTTGCAGTAGTAGCAGGAGTTAGAGTCAGGCAGCAAGCAACGCATCTGCAGGGAGCAGACAAGTAAAATGTGGTAGAGATATGCTATGGACACCATGCAATGATTAGAAGCGTATCAGTTATCTATTGCTGTGTAACAAGTTACTCCAAGTTTAACATCTTAAAACAACAAACATTTATTATATCACAGTCTCTGTGGGCTAAGAGCCAGCATGGCTTAGCTGAGTCCTTTGGCTCAGGATCTCTTACAATGCTGCAATCAAGTGTTGGCAAGAGCTATGGGTCCTCTCAAGTCTCTACTAGACTAGAATAGGATTTGCTTCCAAGCTCACCCACGAGGCTGTTGGCAGGATTCAGTTCCTCACTGCTGCTATTGGACCGAGGGCTTCAATTCCTTGCTGGCTGTTGGCTGGAAGCCTCTCTCCAGTCTTTGCTGTTAGGTTCTCTGTAAGGTGGCTCTCAAAATTTCAGCTGGCTTCCACCAGAGCAAGCAAGGGAGGGCACATGAGAGGAAGACAAAGGGTTTTTATCACTTAGTCTCAAAAGTAACATACTGTCACTTTTTGCCACATTCTGTTCACTAAGAGCAAGTCACTAGGTGTAGTCCACAATCAAGATAAGGTGATTGTACAGGGACATGGGTACCAACAGGGCACCATCACTGGGAGTCACCTTAAAAGCTGCCTACCACAAGAAACAACAGATCAAAGGATGATACAGCGTTAAACACAATACTTAACAGAAAAAGGCAAGAGTTAAGGTGAAGTCTGCAGCAGAATACAATTTGTTTAAATTAAAATACCTAGGAACAATGTTATATGCTTTAAAAAGATACAAACAAATTCAGAGTATAAAACAATCACATTGTAATGTTTGCCTGCTGGGCATGGAGAGCTGGTGGAGAAATGCAAATAAATAACCACATAAATCCAGAGAAGGGCCTTGCAGATATAGAATAAAATTGTGTACTATAAACTCAAGACCAAGTTCAACTCCTTGCACATGAAGTTCAAAAGAAAGGAAAAGTAAAGTAACAAAACAAACACTCTGGGTCTCTCAAACACTCAAGTTCCCATGGAAGGATCTTATCAAGATCAATGTCTGAGGGAGCTCCCCACCCAATGTCACACTGGATTAAAGTCATCTCAAAGTCTCAGAGATTTTTACCAAGTAGAAGCAGCGTCTGTGTTAGTGTGGCATACCTTGGGGTGTAAGACAGCTTTAAGAATTCAGTGTACATAAGACATACCCACGTGGAGACCAAATGTCTCAGGACTAAAGGCTTTCCTGAATGTGGGACTTTCAGTGCCAAAACTTGGATAATTTGTTCACCTTATCACCTGAGGAGTTTGTTTAAAAATGCAAATTGAAGCATCCTCACAAGTGATTCTGATTCAGTGTGCCTGAGCAGGACCAGTAATCTGCAAGCAAAGCAGAGCCAGAAGCCCTTCTAATATAGATGGTCCATGGACCACCCTTCTAGAACTCTCTGTTATAGAAGGACAGTTTTGAAAGCTACTTCTGGTAGCACCAAAGGTGACAGCCACTCTCAAGTCTGTAATCACAAATCTCATGCAGCCACCTGCTACAGTATCACCATTACCTGTTGATAATCCCAGGGCTCTAGTTCAGTTTATTGATTCTGGAATTTCTCTTCCACAGAAGGCAGACCTCAAGATCTAGGAGGCAAAGTTCAGGAAGGGGTCAAGACAGGAGTTTGAGAAACAGGATTTTCCTGACTGGCTGTTAGAAGAAACCACATCCCACGGCTGGATTAGCCATCTCCAGAAAAGTCTGGCGGAAGTTACCCACCCACACGAAAATCTGAAGAATGTGCTTATAAGATAAAAGTGACCTCTAGGTCTTCAGGAAGCAGCTGCGTCAAATATAATCTCTGTAAAATATTTTTCATATTTAGAAAAAAAAAAAAGATTACGCAAGTACATTAACATGATAAGATAATGATGAGATAATGGCAAGTACCTCTCAAATCTAGCCGGAGGTGGGCGAGGAGTCCTGACGCTGACGTCGAGGGGAGGGGACTTTGAGAAGCTGCAAGTGTATTAGGTAGACCTATCCACATTAAAAGGATGTGTCAAACCATAAAAGTTTGCAAAATATTCTTAGTAACCAATCAATAGTCCTTGCTCTATTTTTATATTCATAGAGTAATCTTTTGATCTACCATTATTCTTTCTTCTCTAAATACAGATTGGGTAACTTCTATGTGAGAGGTACTGTGCTAGGCACTGTTGAGAAATATATGTATTTTGGTCTTAATTTTTTGTTGGATTTTAGGTTTTATGAAGGTAGACTCTAACTAGTAGAAGACTAATGCAAACGAAGCAATATTCTGGTAGTTTCAAAGAACTCAGCTGTAGTGATAAGAGCAGATATGGTTTTAGAGTCCTCCAAAAGCCGACCCCAAGACAAGAATCCAAGTAGTTTTGGGAAATTATCCCAGGAAATACATAAAAGAGGGTGGAGAGTAAGTTAGGGAATCAAAGGAGCTGATAAAAGGTATCTGCCAAGCCAATTACCATTGCGGGCAACTGATGTTAGAGCCTGCTGGGGAAGTCTGAGAGACAATAAGAGATTCTATGCTGTCCACACTCTAGAATAGGTTTCAGGGTTATTCCTAACAAGCGGTATTCATCCATTGACTCTCCAACGGTCATTGTCTGAGTGTTGCTTCTTGGGAGATTGATTACATCTCAGGCACTTCTGCTCTGCCCTGTATGAGAGCTGAGCATGCTATCTTGACTACGCAGAGTCACAAATGTTTTCTATAAACAGGTTGAGAATGTAGAGACAAATACCAAGTGGATGTGGGTGGGCTAGCAACAGCATCTGCCATAATAGCTCGCAGTTGCTGCAGGCTTACAGGGTTCCACAGACTAGATTAAATGTATGTTATCTCATTTAATATCTGATTAATATTCTTCATTTTCCAGATCAGGAAACAGATGTGAAGTGAAAAGAGACTTGTATATGATCTCACAGTCAGCATACAGTGTGACTGGGATTTGAACCTTGACAACTGGGTTTTAGAATCCAAGACTGTGGCCACTGCACTCTACTGGCCCCTTGGAGAGTTTGTATCTAGGTGAGGGAATAGAAAGAGATTTCAAGATATGGGTGTAAAAACCAGCTGTTTCATGCAATATGAACCAGATTTCAGTTTGGGATTCAGCACTGGTATAGAGGTGCAAACATGCAATGAAGTTCAAGATTATCAAGGGTCTTGTTTGGCTAAAATATAAATCATAGGTAGTGGAAGATATTGGGGAGGATTCTGAATGCCCAGTTAAGAAGCTCACACAGTGGGCTTGTCCGTAAGAAACTGTTGAAGCTTTTTGAGCAATGACATGATAGAAGATGGGCTTGAATAACATTAAAGACTATTAATAACATAAACCATATTATTATAAAATAACATTCAACAGGAAGCCATGAATTGGTTGGATTGACCAAAAAAGAGGGAAAGATGAAAGAGCATGTGAGAATTCAAGAGTTTCAGGACACTTGTCTCAGAGATCCGGAGTCACTGAGGGCATGATAGGACAGCTAAGAAGAGCTGCTTCCAGACCAGGTCATGGGTATATAGTGCTCAGGAACTCTAGTCCCAGATATCAGGGTCTTTAATGGAATACAATAGAGAAAAGGACCAGAGTGGCTAGCTTGGACTTAGGTATGGCTGGACTTTCTAGTTCCTCTTCACCTTATAGTCCTAAGATTTGCTACTCTAAAGAGAATTTAATCTGTTCGCCCAGCATTGATCAGAATTCAAATGAACTGGTGGAATTTCTTTTAAAAAATAAATAAATAAATAAAAGCCTGGGCACAGTGGATCACACCTGTAATCCTAGCACTTTGGGAGGCCAAGGCAGGTGGATCACAAGGTCAGGAGTTTGAGACCAGCATGGTCAACATGGTGAAACCCCGTCTCCACTGAAGTTACAAAAAATTAGTCAGGTGTGGTGCTGCATACCTGTAATCCCAGCTACTTGGGAGGCTGAGGCAGGAGAATCACTTGATCCTGGGAGGCAGAGGTTGTAGTGAGCTGAGATCTCACCATTGCACTCCAGTCTGGGTGAAAGAGCGAGACTCCATCTCAAAAAAAAAAAAAAAAAAAAGTGAATGATAGTTTGATGACTCAATCAAAGGTGGGTTGACAGATACCTTTTTTTTTTTTTTTTTTCTTTGAGACGGAGCCTTGCCTTGTCACCAGGCTGGAGTGCAGTGGTGTAATCTCAGCTTACTGCAACCTCTGACTCCCTGGTTCAAGCGATTCTCCTGCCTCAGTCTCCCAAGTAGCTGGGATTACAGGCACGTGCCACCACACCCAGGTAATTTTGTATTTTTAGTAGAGATGGAGTTTCACCACGTTGGCCAGGATGGTCTTGATCTCCTGACCTCGTGCCTCCCAAAGTACTGGGGTTACAGGCATGAGCCACCACACCCAACCTCCTTTGCCTTCCCTAACTTACTCTCCACTCTCTTTTATGTAGAGCAATGCATTAGTGCCACTCATATTGTTGATGAGCCTGAAATACTTATATTGATGGCTGGTTGGTGTATTGTTTTCCTGGAAAGAGGCACTTCTTTTTCTTCTTTTGCTAGCTGGTTCTTTCTATTCTGGAACATTAAATGCACACCTAGTCCAAGAGTCCATATTTACCTTCTCTCTGGACATTTAATCATAACCCTCAACCATGTCTTTTTAGTGATGACATTTCAGTATCTCCAGAATTCATCTTTTCCCTTGAACATAGTTTCCAACTGCTGGATTGATCAAAAAAGAGGGAAAAATGGAAAATCAGGTAACAGGTATGGCAATAATTCAGGAGTTTGAGGACACTTGTCTCAGAGATCCAAGATGTCACTACCAGGATATTCCACTAATGCCTCAAACTCAACGTGACCAAAAACAAGCCAGTCACATTCTTCCACAAACAAATTTGTTTCTTTCTGACTTCCCAGTTGATTCATGACCCCATCATTCCTCAACTTGCTGATACTCGACCCTTGGAACAGCCTCTGACTCCCTCTTATCAACTGTCCACCCTAATTAATGCATGCCAAAACCTTGTTTATTCTACCACCACATCTCTTAAAGTTGGTCAGCCCCTTTGTCTTTATTCTAGTATAGTGTATTATCAAGAGTCAAATTTACAACAAATCTAGTTTAAAGGTCTAGTGGGCTTTTATTTGTGATTCTAACATAGGGCAACACTTCATTGTATAAAATAAATGTTCCAAGAAGCAGAGCAGGAAGGGTTGGCTTTACAGGCAGAAAAGGGCTGGAGAAAGCAGAAACAGAACAAAATATGAATTGGTGGTTTCAAATTACTTTCCTCATAGAGTTACAGTAGAGGGAACTTCTTTATCATGCAGGCTCAGGTAAATTGAACCCCTTTTGATTGGTTGCTGTGAATTTCCTGTTTTCTTGGAAAATTCTCACATTTTAGAGTTCAGTGGCACCTGAACATTGATTATGTGGCACTTAACATGAATGACTCCATTCTGGTTTGGTCTGGTCTGCTGGGGCCTAGTGAAAGGGACTAATCCAAAACAATGCCCTCCCATAAACTTTGTTTAATAATAGTATATAGTATAGTATGGTATAGTATATAGTATAGTATGGTATAGTATAGTCTAGTTCAGGTTTTTGTTGTCTATTGCTTAGCTTTTTACTTGGAATATAACCACACTCCTTATACTGCCCTCCTCCAAATAAATAGTACCTCATCCTCCTCTGGGTCTGATATGGTTTGGATTTGTGTTCCCCACTGGAATCTCATGTTGAATAATCCCCAGTGTTGGAGGAGAGGCCTGGTGGGAGGTGATTGGATCATGGGGGCGAATTTCCCCCTTGCCGTTCTTGTGTAGTGAGTGAGTTCTCCCAAGATCTCGTTGTTTAAAAGTGTGTAGCACCTCCTTCTCTCTGTCCTGCTCTGACCATGTGAAGACATGCCAGCTTTCTCTTTGCCTTCTGCCATGATTATAAGTTTCCTGAGGCCTCCCCAGTTATGTTTCCTGTACAACCTGTGGAATAGTTGACCAATAAAACCTTTTTTTCTTTGTAAATTATCCAGTCTCAGGTAGTTCTTTATAGCAACATGAGAATGGACTAACACAGCATCTCATAGTATTTCGCTATATATTGTTTCTGTTTGTAGCTCTCTTATGGTAGTAATAGCTAAAAGCAATACTAGGTGCCTGGCATTGTCCTACATGCTCTACATATATTATCTCCTTTAGTCTTCACAGTAACCTTTTGGGATAATAGAGTTGTGAACCACATTTTACACATGAGAAAACTGAGGCACAGAGAGGTTAAGTGGACTTTCCCAGGGCAGGAGCTGAATTTGAATCCAGGCCTCTGCATCTCCTAATAACAAAGTGCCACGTTGAACCTCTTGTCCTGTTTTCCAGACTGTAAAGTCCTTAAGGTGAGGATTTCTCTATATAACCAAGTGACTCTTGCATAGTGCCTTATGAATTGTAATGTGAATGGATGACAGTTTTGCTTGAAATGTCATCAGCATAAAGACATGGTTGAGGGTTATGATTAAATGTCCAGAGAGAAGGTAAATATGGAATCTTGGACTAGGTGTGCATTTAAGGTTCCAGAATAGAAAGAACCAGCTAGCAAAAGAAGAAAAAGAATTGCTTGACAATTTTGCTTGATTCAGGGAAACATCAAGCTGGAAGTCATTTGGTCTTGCTATTCCTGTAGAAGTGAGACTGTAGCTAATTCATTCTGGATGATAAGCTTTAACCAGATCAGATCGTTTAAGTAGGCCCTAGCTAGAGTAGAAATGACCCAAGAGAAATCAGGCTACAACCTACATGAAATCAGACATTGGGCTCAAATGCATGTGTTAAGCTCTGCCTCTTCTTTAAGTTCTATTATTTATGGACTCTTTTTCTTTTGCTGCATACCTGAAAACCCACACTCTTCTTAACTAACAAAAGAAGAATCTGAATTAGAGACTTAGAAACACAGAGTATGTAGTAAAAGAGTATTTGCAAATGTGGGTGGAGTAGAGGCTCTCTGGGAGGCTCAATACAATTACATTTTGGCTGAATGAGCTTGCAAACCTCTTCTTGAGGCTGAGCAGAGCTATTTCATGCCTCTACCACAGGCATTTTCTCTCTGAAAAATCAATGACCCAAGAAAGCAGTTGGTGGTGGGAGGAGGGAGAGTCCGTGAGCTAATCCTTGAGGTTGAGGCAGAAACACAGCTGTTTTGGATTCAGCCTGGGGAGATCAAGGGGAGACATGACTGCTGTATTTGGAGAGGCTTGTCTTCAGTTGGCATCATTCTGAGCACTCAAGTTCTCTGTCAATAAGCACTTTATGGGAGAGATAAATGGATTTGGAGCTGAGGATAGGGGAGGGTGTCTGGGAAAGAGTAAACATATTATCTGAGACCTTCCATCAAGCCCCTTTACTGAAGTGCTCAAGGACTCAGACATTGAGTTTAGCAGAGGCAGAGTGGGAAGGAGCCCTTTGGGTGAAGCCAGCTGCAGAGGTCTAGTCTAACAATAATAGACAGCATTAGAGGATCCGGCCTCTGGAGCTTGCTTCACCCACAGTGGTGCCAGGTTCCATGCTGAGGGATTATCAAATGACAGTTTGGTCACCATCTTGACAATAAGACTAGAAACAATTGACCGCCTATGAAGAGAAAACATGAACATTCATTCTAAAGGGTATTGGTGAAAATGTAAATTAGTACAACCATTATGGAAAATAATATGAAGATTTCTCAAAAACTTAAAATAGAACTGCTATATGATCCAGCAATCCCACTTCTGGGTATATATGCAAAGGAAATGAGATTGGTATGTTGAAGAAATATCTGCACTCCCATGTTCATTGCAGCACTGTTCACAATAGCCAAAATACAGAATCAACCAAAGTGTTTACCAACAGATGGATGAATGGATAAAGAAAATGTGGTTATATAAACAAATGGAATACTATTCAGCCTTAACAAAGAAGGAAATCCTGTCATTTGCAACAACACAGATAAACCTGAAGGACGTTATGCTAATAGAAATAAACCAAGCACAGAAAGACAAATACTGCACGATCTCATTTATATGTGGAATCTAAAAAAGACAAACTGGCCAGGTATGGTGGCTCACATCTATAATTCCAGCACTTTGGGAAGGCAGATCTGAGAGAATTTCTTGAGGCCAGGAATTAGAGACCAGCCTGAGCAACACTGCAAGACTCTGTCTCTACAAAAAAATTTTAAAATTAGCTGGCTGTGGGAGTGCACACCTGTAGTCCCAGCTACTTGGGAGGCTGAGGCAGGGAGATCACTGGAGCCTAGGAATCTGAGGCTGCAGTGAGTTATGACTGCACCACTGCACTGCAGCCTGATCAACACAGTGAGATCCCTTCTCTTAAAAAAATTAAAAATAAAAAAGACAAACACACAGAAGCAGAGAGTAGAATGCTGGTTACCAGAGGCTGGGGCAGGGGTGGGGTAAGGTGGTGGAATTGGGGAGATGTTAGCCTAAGGATAAAAAAATTCAGTTAGACAGGAGAAATAAGTTCAAGAGGTTTATTATTCAACATGATGACTATAGTTAATAACAATGTTTTATATTCTTGAAAATTACTAAGAGAATAGGTTTTAAGTGTTCTCATAAAAAAGTATAACTATATGAGGTAATGCATATATTGATTAGCTTGATTTAGCCATTGCACAATGTGTACATATATCAAAATATATTGTACACCATAAATACATACAGTTGTTGTCATTTAAAAATAAAAAATAAAAATTTACAAAAATTAAAAAATAAACTTAAAAATAAAGAGTGGGTGGCAATATTCCGAAAACATGGGAGGTGAAAGTAAATACCTGAGTAAATGCAAGAAAATGTTACTATCTATTTTGCATAATGACATCCCTTTCCTACATATTTTTAGATCCAAAAAGAACCCTTCCCAAGAAAGTATAGGCTTTGGGAAAGGTAGATGTGGGCACACTCTGGTCTTGAGATACCA